GTGACCCTGCTAGTGGGGGAGGTTATAAACACTAGCACATGTTGGCACATGTCGATATGTTATTCGTGACCCTGCTAGTGGGGGAGGTTATAAACGCTAGCACATGTCGACATGTAGTGATAGAGCCGGTTCGTTCAACCCAGCTAGTGGGGGTTATACACCAGCAAATAATGGCCCTGCTAGTGGGGATTATACACTAGCCGTGACCTATAGAGGAGACGTCTATTTCGTTCCCGTACTGTATCCGTTTTGCGTGATTGCACATGTTGGCATGCTATAAGTTTAATTAAGGGCAATCCATATTTACTTACTGAGTTTATCTCATAGTTTTCCTTGTCCACCATTTCAGGAAGTGAAACCGAGGACGGGGAAACCACAGGAAGTGACGAGTTAGAAAGCTAGCCATTTCGAGATTGATATAGATTTTTAGAAATAAATCATGATCTTGTAAACTAGAGTGTGTATTGGAGATTTTATGATATTAGAGAGAATTTTATAATTTGATCTTTAGATTTTGGTGGTATCAGAGTGTGATATGATAAGTTCCGAGCCTTGTGCACTTGTGGGACCCGTCTCACGAGTGTACGGCGTTTGCCACGTCCCCGAATTTGGGTTCTGGGGCGTGACAATTAGACTTTGAAGATTTTTGCATTGAACATGGGATTGATCATAATTTTTCAGCCCCTAGAACTCCTCAACAAAATGGGGTGGTTGAACGGAAAAATCGTACTATTGAGGAAATGGCAAGGACTATGATTTGTGAGAATGATTTGCCAAAATCCTTTTGGGCCGAAGCCGTTGCAACCTCTTGTTATTTGTTGAACAGAGTTATGGTGAGGCCTATTCTTAATAAAACCCCTTATGAAATTTACAAAGGAGGAAAACCTAAGATTTCCTACTTTAGAGCTTTTGGTTGTAAATGCTTTGTCTTGAACAATGGAAAAGACTCTCTTGGAAAATTTGATTCTAAAAGTGATGAAGGCATCTTTGTTGGATACTCTACTTCTAGTAAAGCTTACCGTGTGTATAATAAACGTACCAAAGTTGTTGAGGAATCTATTCATGTGATATTTGATGAGACTAACCCCATTTGCTCTAGAAAGTCTTGTAATGATGATGATGTAGATGCCATTGGAAAACAAATAAAAGATATAAATCTCAAGGAAGACAACACCAAGGAAGCTCAAGATGAGAAAAATGAGGAGGACAAACATGAAGAAGTGCAACAAACACATGAGCTAAGAGAACCAACTTTCCCAAGAGAAAGATCCTATGTCAAAGGTAATGAAATTCTTGGGGATTCATCAAAAGGGGTAATTGCTAGATCTCATGCTCATAATACTTGTGCTTTCATTGCCTTTATATCTCAAATTGAACCAAATAATCTTGATGATAGTTTAAATGATCCTAATTGGGTGATGGCTATGCAAGAAGAATTAGCTCAATTTGAAAGAAA